AAGAGCGCTTGTTGAAGAGGAGCGGAGCGATTTTCCTGCCTAAACCTTACCCCCAAATACTTCGGAGTTGAAAGAGTCCGATGATACTTGTCATTTGGTCGAAGATGAATCACTGATGATGAATCAATGCACGAAAATAAATGATCAAAAGACAACAGCCAGCTAGATGCACTTGTGACCGTCGATGAAGCAGATAGTAAAGGCTAAAGTAGACCTAAGAATATAACATACAAGAAGAAAAACCAATGCTTCACACGAAATGGTCATAGTATTTTCAAAATTTACCCATAATTCTCGAGCATCCTGAACTGCCATATTGTTCATAACATTAACAATAGAAAATTCGCTAACCTTGATATGATTCAGATCAGACTGGGAATCGCTATGAGCGATGACTTCATCGCTCACCAAACTGCGTCAGTACTCATTTATATTCACAAGTTCGATCGAAAAATCATAAGAAAATCGCAAGATGAGTGAAATACGAAAAGCAGAATGTTTCGATCGACGGCTTGTGCTTGGCTCACCACTTTTGTAAAAAATTCGAGCTCGATGTAATCGAAAGATTTCAGGAAGCAGACCACTGCGTTTTGAAAGGTGGAATAATTGTGAGATTAAGAAAGGATAGCTGACGGTTTTTCATATTGGAGAGTATCGTTGACTACTATATGGAAAGGAATATAACAACAAAGGAAGATGGAATGTGATAGCACAAAAGTATAGACTAGTTGAATTGCACTTACGATTAGTGATTTTTTATTCCACATATTCGGTAAACTGTTCTATTTTGTTCTGTTCCGCTCTTTTGCTTGCGGGTTCTGTGCTGTTCCGGACGCGATTTATTCGCAACCGTCGTGTTCTACCTTACAATTAGGAACAGATCAGGTGTCGAATAAAAATATTTGACATACAAATATCGACTGCAATACAAATATCACTAGCTGCATTTGCTGACTGCATAAAGCAATGAATATTCAAATTTCTCGCTGAATGAAACCAATTTGACCACGTTTCAAATGAATCGCTTGCGTTCAATCATTAGCATACGTAATGAAACTTCACCATGGCAACCGTCATTGATCAGGTGATTAAAATCTGCATATGGTTTGTGGCAAAGTACAGATAAGTAATATTTGCATTGCAGTTGACAGTTCGCATCTGTATTCAGTGGAACGTGATGGTAGCAGTCAGTATTTGCATCGTTCGAAGATGCTTTCCTTTGGCGGTGTTGTGGTTGTTTTTGTTGTGGCGATGAATTGGAAATTGGAGCAGTTCCTAGTGACGAATGAAGTTGCAATAGTGAGAGCCGAATCGCCGACGTCAAAACCGATGAACTCCAGCTTAGCACCGCTCAAAGGCGTGCTACGTCCGGGTCCTGTATCTGATCATGAGTAAGTAATTAAAGATATTCTGGCTCAATACGAGGACTAGAAATGTGTCCAACAGTTTCCGAAAATCGTGTGAAGACAGTACTTGCATAGTGACTTGAACCTGGGACTTATTATAGCGAACGAGAAAAATTAATCCTTTGATGTGATTAGACTAAATTCTGCTTTAGAATTTATTGNGTCTTCAGTCCAGTATCATGCCTATTCCAATGAATAATTTTCAGACGTTCCTCGTACAGAAACATCAGGCGACTTTTCGAGGAACGGCAACGAAAACTTGACGCAAATAAGGTAAGATCGCCGTTAGAGAGTACGATGAATTGGAAAATGTTGCTGAATACGGTTCTGCTTTAAGAAAGCACTAAGTTCTCACAGAATTTCTCAATTCAAAACCCTTATGTCAATATAGGAGAGAAGGGATCAAGTAAAATGTGAAGAAAGTTGGAAGTTCATCGCGGCGATTTTTTCAGGCAATTCGAATGAAAGCCATCCACCAAAACGAGACCACATTGATAGCTGTTTCGGCTGGCTTCACGATTGTCAGTCTGTTGTGGACAACATGGAATTGTTGGAACTATTACAAGTGAGGTATTACTAGGATCAGAACAGTAGTATAGCAGAAGGTCGATTGGAATAGAAAAATCACTAGATGCTGACAACATGAAGCAATGAATATTCAAATTTTTCATTGAATGAAGCCAAACCGATCACGTTTCAAATGAATCGCTTGCGATCCATTAGCATACTTATTAAAACTTCGTTGTTACAATGGTCACTGAAATAATCTGCGTATCGTTTGCGGTAAAGTGGAGATAAACGTGGCAATTTTGGACCTATTCACATTCTTCTGAGGGCTCCTTCTTGTTCTAAAATCTAACTGAAACTATTTCGTAGACACATCATATATGTTACAATCTAATCGAATGATGGTTTCGCATCAACGAGACACTGTCCCAAAATTTGAATTTGCTGAAACTAGAAATATAATGATTTTCACTCGTTTAAGCTAAGCCTTGAAGTGATCAAACTCTTTCAGAAGTAAGAAATATCTGAAAACACTGGAAGAGAAGCGTGCAGCGAAATAAATGTTAGTGGTTGCTAATGAATTTTTCGTCATGACTAAATTCTCAAAGAAATCAGCTTTACCTGCATGCCACATGCATCGACCTATGCATGATCTGCTGATCAAAACAGTTTTCTAGTTCTTCTATGCTTCTTATTCTTTTTAGCTATAAAATTCACTTTCTCTCTACCAAAGACATCTTTAAGACTCTTTAAGATTCTTCAAGTGCTGTCCATGAGAACCCATTCTATTGCTCGAGCGCCATTCCTTACTGATTGTGAGATTGGATTATTTATCCTTGCATTCACAACGTGTTGCAACTACCACATTCACTTTTCTGCATGCCACGATGTTGAAAACGTCCAAAATGCCCCATATATTTTTGCTTTCTCCCAAATTCAATCAATCCTTCGACATGGAAATATTTCAGAAAGGCTGGTGAGAACTAACAACAGCAGCTCGATTCTAGTTGAATGGCTGCATGAACTTCGAGATTGTAGCAATGTTATTAAGGAAATTAATTCAACCTTATAACATATCGACTGTAGATAAATCTATGTTATTGTGAATATTGTGTTCAGAAATTTTAGTGTTGCAGTCTAAAAGTTTTATTGTTTGTTGCTTGTGTTATATGCATAATATTCATTTAGACTGATCACTCATTTGCTGTTAAACATTAAAGTTTTCACTTCACAAATCAAATTACACTTGAATTTGCTTGTCAATTGTCCTACTGATGAATGCTTACATTGGATTTTGAGTTTTTTCGTTATTTGATGATTTCTGGGCGGCTCTCATTACCTCTACCGATAAAGTTGCAGCCCGTATTATATTCATTTTATCAACTTGCTTCGTTGACATGAACTGGCACATTGATTATTCATTCTTCTTAAAGAGCGACCAAATGGTTTTGAATTCTTTTCTGCGTAGCTATTAACTCTTACAATGGCAGAAGTTGATGAACAGTTAAGGAAGTCATCGAGCAAATTATCAACTTAACTGACCATAAGAGTGGACTAAAGTTTCCTTTGAGATTTCCTTTCAAAACAAATTTATTTTCAAAAACAAATTTACATATTGGGCAAATGCAGAATGCAAATTTTGAAGAACTCTTCGACGAGATGGAATTGGTATATACATATGTTCATCATTGATTTGCATCGAAAATTTCGAATTTGCTGCACAGTTCATTCGCATATATTAACCAAAAGCAAGGCGAATCGCAAAGGATCTCGCCATTCAACACATTTTTATAAATTCCACTTCTACTGACCGGTCGATTATTTTAAAAGATTAAACAGCATTTTATTCGATTCAGAAACAGTGGCTGTTATGACTACTGGGCCAAGATTTCGTGTTCATGAGATTACGATGGATGGTACTGGTGATGGGCAATCACGTGTAAGTATTGTCGCGGCTATTTCATTAGATCATTCGATTAGTCTTGTAGATCTGTTAACCTCTTTCTTTGCATTGAACGGAATCATAGTAAGATGTTTTCATCAAAATATGAGCCTTCTTGGAAGAGGTCAGGGTGTCACCGTACGAAGTCTTAATTTTTTGGGAGCATTACTCTATTACAGGCTGCAATACTAACTTACAAAGAGATTCCTCATTCAACCATAGGAAACTTATCCTTACTCCCGCAATCAAATATCAAATCGATGTGCTGTGATGTTCATAAGCATATTAAGTGTCCTTCTGACGGATGCTAATATTTTGTTTTCGAATTTTTTCATAACTGGATAATTTCTGGGTAGTTCTCATTATGTCTATCGATAAAGATGCATCCCGTGTTGATTTCATGTTGATTTCATCAACTTGCTGCAATGGTCTCTTCATTAATGGGTGATGATGTGTTAACTTGAACGGCAGATTCTACGAATGTACATTTTCAGCTTCAGGGAATTAATCTACGATCATCAGCACTGCTGCAAAATCAATCGCTATTCCCACTGCCGGTACGTCGTCACTTCATGATGCCAATACTCGATCGACAACCACGATCCGTCTCACAACTCAGCAATCGATCCAGACGTCGAAGACTGTCTAGACGTCGTACGGCCAGTGCGAGTCGAGTCATGGAACGTCGTTCTTTAGCTCAAAGACGACGTGTGTTCGAACGAAGAAATGCTGATGCAGATAATGAAAACGGTCAAGATGACCGCAACAATCAAGGCTTAAATAATAATGATAGTGGTCACATCGGTAGTGGTAATAGTACAGATAATACTGCCAGTAATGGCTCTATTAGCAATTCAAGTGGTCGTTTCGATCCCAGTGCAAACCGCAATGAGAATAATATCATCAGCAATGAAACTAATAACAGTAATAGCAATAATGATAATAATAGCAATGCCGGAAATAATAATGGGAACAGCAATAGTGCGCCCAGAAATCTGGTAGGTGGCATTGTAAGCAATATCGTTTCGCGGACGAGATCCGCAAGAAACTCACGGCGTAATGTCTCGAATCAACGAGCAACTTCACAGTTGCCACGAAGATTGTCACGATCAAATTCAGCACGTCGGCGACGTCGTTCGCTACTGCAACGTCGTAGACTTCGCCGATTAGCCACTCAGTCCACTTCAACACCGCCAACACCACCACCACCACCAGCCTTGGCTAGAACCGCAAGAACCATGCCAAGGACACCGTCTCGTCGACGTTTGACTGCATTATCGCAATCGCTAAACCCAACCTCAACCCCGAACAACCACCAGCATTCAAGCGTCAGCACATCCATCTTAAGAACACCCAACTCATCACCGACATTCTACACAGCCTCGGATCAACTCCCTGCTGCCACACCACGTCGCCGTGGCGTCCAACGTCCACCTCTTCCTTCAACTCCACAACCCAACAGACCACCATCGCGGCTGACATGGAGTCCGAATGATCCGCTTCGTTCCAATTCTTCAAGATTCCCCAGCGCTCACGCATCGACACCATCAACTCCCCGATTCACACGTTCATTCATGCCGCTACGTGCATCCACGCCGAGCTCGTCGTCGAACTCATCACCGAATTCATCGTCAACACTTATTACAGCCAATGGTGCAGTACCATCAGCCGCACTCAGCTTCAGAAGTCTCGGCGGCATTCGATTGATCGGCTCTCAACGCAGACGAATGGGAGACGCACAATACTCTGAGAACATCACACAGGGACTGAATTCGCTTGCTAGAAATTTCTCGAATGAAAGCATTCCAAGTAGCCGAAGTGATATGTCGTCGTCTGGCCCCTCGTCGTCACTTTCCCAACCAACTCCATATCTCAGTCAAACGAGTGTCGTCGATCTGAACACGAGCAGAAGCGTTGAAGAGTCCGAAGCACAACCAGCACTGCCAACTGCACAAAATGACCACATTTCATCACTATCAGCAACAGATAGTGATAATGAGGAAAGTGCAACAAGACCTCAAATTCCTACGAACAACACTGAATGAAGCATATTCGAAATTATAGGAAATGAAACGAAATGTAGGCTTTCATTAATATCCGAAGCTAGTTTAGTTCATCTTATAGTCAGATTCAAAGAGTGAATGAAAAATCACTTGTCAGTTGTATAATTAGGATTAGTCCGGCAGTGGCTCGATAATTTACCACTATGCTATCTCATTTGGACTTAACTAATTAGATTTATTCTTCGACTAGTGAGCACTTCTCATATGATAACAAAAAACCAAATAACGACTCGAATGGAATATATGTTTCAGCAGGAACGTTTGAAAACCATAGATTCATCATCAGCAAGTAGTTATCAGTTCATTTTCAGAGCAAGCCAGGCTTCAAAGTTTACACATTTCCGATAATGCCATGATGAGTGTGCAGAGGTCTACTTCGACTGCCGCAAAAAAAGCTGTTAAAGCATTTCAACATTTCGAAATGATCCTCGTCTGATGATATGATCATGTAATGGCAAAATCTGGGAAATAGCAGCCAGAAATAAACTGACGAAATGATTCGATATTCAAAGCAGATGTCTCGAAAATGTGAGTTGAAACTGGAATGTTTGCAAATATAATACGTCGTTTGCATTTGATCAATTAATCATGCTTACTTGTGCTTCACATTGCTGTTCTAATTAACTAATTTGACATTATTTCACATGAATCATGCATAACCAGAAGATTGCTTTAAAACTGAATTTGCAGTAGAAATTAACTGATGTGAGCACGGAAATATCAAAAGAATATGCCAGGCACCAAGGAAAGGGCAACAGCATTGAACAAACTTTGATTTTACTAAAAATTTGAAAGGTACTTGAATCCGGTGCATTTGCAACCATATTTATTGAAAGCGATCTAAATTCATTATATGGTGTTCAGTCTTCGTGCATTCTTATTGTTATCTTAACTGCTGCTGCATTGTTTGCTCAATCCGAATTGACTGATAAAATTATTCGTGACATCTGATTTTGACGAAGATAGTGAGGAATTAAATGATTTTATACAGAAAGTAACAACTACAACAATTGATTTCACATCACATCAGTTTGTCTAATGTTCTGTGAAATAATCATATCCGTTGCATTGTTCAAAACCAACTGGACTTGATTCGTGTCCGTTGCACATGCGAGATGCATATAAAGCGTATTATGCGGATCCTTATTCAACCGATTGAATTTCTTCTCGATGAACTGCGTTGTTGTCTTCTAGTCGTTTGGACCCATCCAAATATCATACACATCAATTGAGTGAATAGCATTATTAACGTATATTTCTGCCACAATTCAAAACAATCATGTACTTCTGCAATCATGTAATCGCGGAATGCAACGCTAAGATTGACCCGTTGTATTTTGATGGCAAATAAATCTTTCTTATTTAGAAACAAAATTGTTGAAGTTTCTTTGAAGTGGACACTGCCAGTGATATCATGAAATAATTGTAGTGAATCCATCATTCGATTCTGAAACATACATACTCTTATAAACACAAAACTGCAGCAATCATTCGAAGCAAATTCAATAATTATTAGCAATTATTATGAACTATTGTGAAGCATTTTCATTCTAAGATTGGTTCTGAAATCAGTTCTCCAAACAACTGGCAATTTGTTAACCTAAAAGTTTAGAAAATTGCCGAAGGATTCACTTTGAATCGCGTAGATGAACTATCTTCTGCATTCTCCTCCTAAATGCTGATTGCATTTCAAGAACATAGCGAAAATGCGATATCATAAAACGCAGAGGAAACTGGAACAGACCTTGCTAGCGTCTTCTCGTAGCGTTTGATCATCTATAGTGATCAAATGCATATCAATGAGCACCTCACCGCCAGTTCACATAGC